TCACTCGTGCCAGGGCAGAAGCCACGCCCCCGAGCGCCCGTATAGCCCCAGGAGAGCAGGCCACGCCTCCTCGTGCAGCCCTGTGATGAAACCCCTCCCCCAGGTCAGCTGTGTACCCGCCTCTGCCCGCCTCCTCCCATCATCCTCCAATCGCACGCTTGCTCTTCTCATGCCGTTCTCATTGTGCTGCCGCTTGCCCCTGCTTGCTGCCGTCGTCCCGCTGCTGTCTGTGGCGTGTGCTGCTGCTGAGACTCATCTTCCTCTGTCTTCGTCTGTCCTCCCCGTCACATTCCTGTCTCTCGCCTCATTGGGAATCGGCCGTGTGCTTGTGTGTGTGTGTGTTGAAGTTCGCACTGTGTGTGTGTTTGCTGCAGGCTGTGAGTGCTGTGACCCGACCCGTGACTGCCTCTCCCCAGAGTCTCACCGTCCCGTCTGCAGCCGTTAAACCGGCAGAGCCGCCGCTGCGCAGCCGCAGGTAATCAAACACACACATGCACATATGAACACCAATGAAGGAGACGGACAAAGCTGTTCCCACTTTTATAAGGCAAAAATTCGAGCGGTCAAAATGAAGTACAAAACCTGGTTTAGCCTACATAATAAATCATAGTTTGGCATCCAAATACATCACAAATATGGAAACATTTGGATTCGTGTCGAATGAGAGAGCTTCGTGAGCCCAACAGTGGTTTTTGTTTCAGTTTTGCTTTAAATTATTTAGTTTTGGCTTGTCGTTTATAGCTTCTGTTCGGAGTACCATTATTATAATTTTTTTTTTTTTATGGAGTGAGGGAGCTAAAATGGCATATAGCCTAGCTATGTTTATAGTGTTTGTAAACATTTTGCTTTTAGGCTACCGGTATTTCTGAATGTAATAATAAAATGTGACTTGTAGCTAAGTGACCCCTCTCTCTCTCTCACTCTCTCTCTCTCTCTTTCAGTTAAGCTTTATTAGCATGACTGTGTAACACAATGTTGCCAAAGCATTAACATATATATAACAACAACATAAATAATAATAAATAAAATCCATCTAAATAAATGAAAAGATGAAGTAAGTCAGTATCGAGTTAATCATGTTTAACATCTAACGTTGTGAATGGTTAATACATATTGTGCAGCTGGCAGTGCTCTCTCTCTTTTTTTTGTCTCTTAGAAATGCACATTTGACAGTTGCTCGAGTTAGGATGCAGATATACATTTATTTTCATTATCAAAAACTGTAACATCTGTAAAAGTTAACAACCTAATTTTTATATATTGAAATTTAATTATTCTGATTTATATTTTATTAATTAACCATTGGGTCTTCCATAATTGCAGACATTTAGATCATGGCACCCACAGTCAAAACCACACATATAGCACCTCAATACCATGGTAAAAATTTATATGTTTCTAGATATTTGTATGAGAAACAGTAGTCTAAATACAGTGTTTCTGCTGTTTGTCAGCGCAGTTTCATCTTTAGTTTAAATCACGAGTCGTTTGTGTTCTTCGCTGAACTCAGGCGCTTCACTCTGGATCTCACAGCTGTGTTTAGTGTCGTGTGACTGAGACTCATCAGCGAGTAACACATCTGCTCTAGTGAGCTCACGCTGCGAGCTTTTGTTTTTGCAGCTACAGACTAGCAGTTAGTGTGTGTTAGCACTGCTGTCGAGGGTTTTGATTTTATTTATTTGCAAAGCAATCTTGAGATCCTAAAAGGAACTACATAAGAGTATTATTATTATTATTATTATTACTTGGTGTCAATCGATTACAAAAAAAGTTAACAAATCACTTTTTAAAAAATTTATTTATCACGTTTAATCCCACCTAACGTTAAAGTTTTATATTGCAGTAATTTCACATTCAATTATCAGATTAATGTAGAAACAACATAAAGACAGTATATTTTTAATATTTGTTTAATGGCATCTTTTTTATGACTGAAGGCGAGTATCACTGATACCAATACTACTGATGTCTCTAGGAAATAGTTTTTTCCCCTAATATTTAACCATTGACGATATCCATTCAACATTAAAGTATAATTGAGAGCTATCAATTTAAACATTTATTAGACTTTAAAAAACAACTTCTAATTTAAGTGAACTTAAAACAATCTTCACATAAATCCATTATAATGTCATATTTAGCTACCTGTGCCCTTCAGCATGTAGGAAATATACAGAAATTGAATAGTTATCAAACACTAAATTCTAAATTAAATAAAGATTAATCCTCAAATCTACAAAAAGTGATTGATTTGCCCTTTGTCTTTTGTTCTTTGATGAACAGACATCACAGCAGCTGGTTATGAGGTGATTTTGGCTGCTTTAAAGGGGTGGTTGACTGTTTTTGTTTCTTCTAGGCTGGATTGTGTTTATGGGGTGCAGTATAACATGTTAATGCTTCGTTTGTAAAAAAAATGCATTGTTTTTCACATAATTTACCTTTATTCCACACCGCTCTGTCCCTTCTCTGAGAAACGCACTGATCATTTCCTGCTTTTATGAATGAATGCTACTGCTTCTGTTAGCTTTGAATATACGGTTTTATCCTGATTAAAGCTTTAATACAGTACGGCAACTGCACGCTGAGCCATGTAGAACACTTCTCATAGCTATGTGAAAATAAGTGTATAATTGTAACAGTTCATTGTTGTAGCTGAGCTGAATGAGAGAGAGAGAGATGCAGAGCAGGGGGACGCGAGGAACAGGATTGAGAATCGCTGCTTTAGAACACTGATTTTGAAACGTGTGAATCCATTAGAATCGTTAGAAGACAGAATCGCGATTCATATATGAATAGATTTTTACGTGCACCTCTAGTTTTCTCTTCCTCTTCTCTAAAGCAGCGCAGCATGGGCCCGCCCCCTTTGCTGACTTTTCCCGAGGGAGGGGTTTATCTGGGTTTGTGATGTCACGAACCCAGGAAGTAACTTGTTGTAGTCCCTACCAGCCGTTTTTGTAGGCATTAAACTGCCAGAATTAAAAAAAAACGTTAAAGTGAAATCGCAATCCACCCCTTTAAGCTGCCGCTGCTGAACATGACGCGGATCTGACACGCATCATAGTTTCTCATAACTCTTTACCTTTTCTGACTCATTGCAGCTCTTAAAGGTGCACTAAGTGGTTTTTGCCAAACATTGTTGATATTTGAAAGCACCAAAACAAACACGCCCATACCCCAACAGGACCTCACCCCTATCTTGATAACTCCGCCCCACACGTACATACTCAACCCTGGCAGCGACGAGGGCGGAGTCTGCTATGCTTGCGGCCGCAGCATATTCAAGCAAAAGCCACCACAGATTAGTTGTGTGAAACAAAACAAAATCAACGTAATTCACCTATCAAGAAGAAACAAAGCAACCTCTGCATCCGATTCCCTTCCGCTCCTTGAGTTTCTCCACCGCTGGAAAGCTGCTCCAATATTTACGTGGGTCCCACCTCTTGCCTGATCGTAACCCTTCTTTTTAATGTTTTGTTCCTCTTAAATTAATTTTTTTTGTCTGCCATCTCTCGCTCTCTATAGTCGATCTGCTAATATCCGTCCTGTCTAGTAATGATCGGGAGAAGAGAGTGCTCGCACTCACCGAGCACTCTTCTCCCAATCATTACTAGACACGCCCCTTACTGCTGATTGGCTGTGAGTGTTTGGGACTCGGCTACCTTTAGTGCACCTTTAAAGTTTCTATAATGAGCTGTTGAGTTGAATCGGGTGTGTTAGATGAGGGAGACAGTGCTGGGCTGCTCTAGGACAGTTTTGAAAACCACTGCACTTCAGAGACATGTTCTTAAATGTGACTGGCGTAACAAATACTAACATACATGCACAGTTTTAAGGCAGCTTTAATCACCTTTTTGGTAACTTTGACTAAACTGATGACAACTGTGACATTGCATGCTTGTCGTTTCATTTGCGCTTTAATATGAAATGATACAGGCTACAGTGCATGACTGACAGGACAGGAAAAATGGTTTCTACTGCCATATGGCCTGGCGACATCTCATCTGAGCGCAGTTCACTGTTGTTCTACTGAAGCTCCTCGTCAAGTGCGCATCTGAAAGTCTCCCGTTTGATGTGGTTGTAAAGATGTTCTGCGTCTAAATAAATGCAGTTCTTCTCAAGAAATAAAGAGAAGCAGCAGTGAGTGGGGTGGCCAACCCTAGCTCCGCCCCTGCGTTAAATATTTAGCTTGTTAAACTGAAAAAATGAATCGCCTGCGTTAACACACTAATAACTTTGACAGCACTGTTATTATATGAGCTCTGACATTTTTTTGTGTGTGTGTGAAGGCATGACTCTCCTGGCCAGCCGTTTCAGGTCAGCACTCCTTCAGCGTTCAGTAAACTAAGTTTGCAGCGGAACTTCAGTCCCATGATGCTCTCTCAGAGCTCATGGTCATCACGGTAAGTAAATCGCATGATCGTCAAACGCTTTATAAATCTCTCTTGCATTCTCGTCACGTGTGGGTCGGTCTCTGCTCTCTTCAGGAGCGCGTCCCCCTGCCTGTCGAACCGCTCGTCTCCTCTGAGCGCTCCGTCCCCCAGCATCTGCGCAGACGAGCCCTTCTCTGACGGAGTGGACGTTCAGGTCACTAATCTGGACTACAGGATGTCACGCAAGGACCTGCAGCAAATACTGCGAGACGTGTTTGCTAAACACGGCAGAGTGAGTCGCATTTCAAAAATTCAAAACCTGAGCTCATTGAAAGAGAGCTTCATTACTGTGTGTGTGTGTGCAGGTGAAGAGTGTGGATCTGAGTCCTCACACTGACTATCAGCTGAAGGCGCGGGTGCACATGAGTTCGCTCCAGCAGGCCATTGGTGCCGTCAGTCTGCTGCATCGCTATAAAATCGGCAGCAAGAGGATTCACGTGTCTCTCGTCACCGGAGCCAGTAACAAGTCTCTCACCTGCCTCAGGTATCACACACATGCTCTGCTTCTCCTTCCTGTCTTCTGTGCTCGGTCTCTTCCTGTTGTAGATGTGACTGTGTTTGTTCCTCAGC